CGGTCCCGGTTGCGCGCCCGGTTCCACGGTCCCGGTTACGCGCCCGGTTCCTCGTTCCGTTACGCGCCGGGCGGGTGCGTCTCCTGTTCCTCGCGCGCTCCGTGCGGACGAGGACACCCCGCGGGGGCGCTGCTGGCAGCATCCAGATTTGGGGCACAGAGCCCGTCCCGCCAGCCCCCGGTACCCCCAGGTCCCACATCCCACTGAGGGTCTGGCGAAAGGCGGGGCCGAGCACGCGTCTCCTTGCGCCCAGCATGGCGGCGGCGAAAAGTTCCCGTTGTCTGGCGAACGGCCTCGGGGTCCTGTCCGCGAGGCCTGCAGAGACCGCTGCCCCCATGTCCAGACCTCCCCGGCGGCCTTGGCGTGGCCATTGAAGGGCGGATTGTGTCCGGCTCGTGGGGCGTCTGCGCGTTTGCGCGTTGGCTTCAAAGGCGAGATGGGAAGAGCAGGTTGTTGACACGGGAAAGCGGGGAGCGGGACTCCGGGGCGCCGGAGGCCATTTCATATCGGGGGTGCCCTAGGACAGCGTCCATCACTTCTGTCAGAGGAACGAGCCTCCCTCCTGTGGAGTGACAGCAACGGTCACGGGACCCTCAGCTCAACCACGTAGGTGCTTCACGTTTATGCCGACGCTGTTTGCAAGAGCCGGACACAGAAGCCACTGTCTACCTGCGCCGGGGAATACTATGCAGCCCCGAACAAGAGGAAGCAGCTAGGATGCAACGCTTGGAGAAACTAGCAGGAGAAAGGCAGCTTGGTGAGTTCAGAGGGAGAGGGGGAGGGAGGGACATAGCGGCCAGCGCTGGTGGGTGGGTGGCGGAGGCATCCGGAAAGGCGTCACTGTGAAAGAATGCGGGAGGGCGGGAAGGGCCGGCACCGCAATTAAACGTCCTTTAATCAGGGCAAGCTGAGTCTGTAATCCGACACCGATTCGTGTGGGCTTGCAAACCGCTGGGGCAGAGGACCAGAGCCTTCTGCTGCTCGGTGGGCAGGGCGGAGCTGGACGCTCTCAGCCTCGGCCACGGCCGGCCAGCTGGGCCGGGGCGCGCAGGGGCCCTCCTCTGCGAGCCGGCTCGTCTGCGCCCTGGCTGCGCGCTCAGAACAGCGGGAAGGGCGGGGCCAGAGCCTCTGCCGGCTGCTGACTTCTCCCCCGCCAGCCCCCGGGCAGCAGCCCCAGGGGGTCTCGGGGGTGACGAGACATTTGGGGTGAAGGACGCATTGGCAGAGGGCAGCAGGTCCTGGACGCTGCTCTGGACAGAGGCGGAGTGAAACTGGGCGCCGGCCTGGGGTCCGGCTTTCCGGCGTCCACTCCCTGAGGAGCTGGCAGAGGCCGCGTCCAGCTTCTGTCCCCATAGTCCAGGGTCCCTGGGGCCCGGCCGGCCTTGGCCCGGATGCTCTTGCTTTCATGAGGGAGCCTGGCCCCGGGCGGGTCTGGCGAGACACCTTCAGGCGCGGCTTGCTCCAGCAGCCATGCAGGTCCCCAGGCCCCGCTGGGCGCGGCGGCCAGAGGCGGCCAGGGGCGGCCGCAGCTCTCAGCAAGCACCGCCATGGCTTGTGGGGGGCCAGAGGAGCCCCCGGACGGCCCCTGGGCGTGTGTCCGGCACTGGTCAGCGCTTCCCAGCCCACGGGAATGCCAAGGACGGTGTGGGGGGCCGGGGGTGCAGGGAGCAGCGGGTGTGGGAGGCGGGCAGGGGCCATGCTCGCTGAGTCTGCAGACTGGGGGGCCCTGGGGACCCCCAAACTGCCCCTCTGCATAGGTTCTACATCCTCCTCATCAAGACAGACGTGCTCAGGTGTGTTCGGCCCTGAGCGGACAGGACGTTTCACGCGATGAGCGTCTGACCGAGCGAGTGCAGCTTCCAGAGCCGCCTGTCCGCTCCCGCGAACTGTCCAGCCCAACGGGGTGGCCCAAATCGGGGCCCCCGAGCCCCGAGAGCGTCCCCCTTAGTCTAAGCTCCTTCTGGGGGACCCGGAGAGGGGCAGGAGAGGCCGGGCGGGAAGCAGCAACATCCACACCAGGTGGGGACAGAGGCCTCCGCGGGCGCCTCCCTGCAGGCCTCTTCCCGTGTCCGTCTCTGCCCAGTGTCCACTCCGCGTCCCCGGACGAGCCCCTGAAGTCAGCGTCACCAAATCGCACCGCTGTGAATAGCGTCCCTTCTGCAAAAACCAGGGGGTCCTTTGACTCACGCCGCGGACGCGGGGACCCCCCGAGTTTGCTGCGTTTGGGGCGAGCCGGGCTGGCTGCCCACGCGTGACCGTCCTCGGGGTCGCTGGGTCGCTGCCGCGGGGCAGGTCATTGGGGTCAAGACAAAGTCAGCGCAGCGACCACCATGTGGGATCGATTAGCACGTTTTTCATTCCTTCCCGTGGGCGGAGACAGCGCAGGGGAATCGGGGCCTGCGGCGGCCAGGAGGCGTCCTCGGGGCTGCGTCTTCCGTCCGGCCAGAAGGGTGGACGCGGGCGAGGCCGGTCAGCCAGGGCGTCTCCGCGACGGGGCCTGTCCCCACCTACAGCGCAGGCAGCGACTTGCGACGGTCCAGTATTTTTTTACGCGTTATTGATGGATACACACAGAACGGGGGTGCAGGGCAGAGGCGGTGGGGGGACCCAGGAGAGAGAGTGGGGGCAGAGCAGGCCGGTCCACGCCCCCCACTGCGGACGGGGGCAGTGGGCAGACAGGAGGGGTGTGCCGCGCCCTGGGGGAGCCCCGGGGACTGCGGGGGGCGGAGACTCCAGTAGGCGCCTACCGCTGCCTACCGCTGCGTTTTCAGCCGTTG